ACATCTGTAGCCTAGGTTACAGAGGTGCTGATAAATCCCAATTCTTTTAAACATGTCTTTTTCAAGTACTGTAAGCCAGCAACAGATATTTAACACCCGTTTCCAAATAAATGTTGTTTTAAGTTACTTTTTTTGTTTAAAAGTGAGACTAAACACGCACCCTCAGGTTTTTTATCATATCTAAAACCCTTTTCCAAGGATGAAAACCTCGGGGCTGACGTACTTTTGTTCTATCCCGCAAATATCATGGGTTTAAATATCATAAAAACCCTCTTTATCCTACACATAAATACTGGTCATCTGCTACTGCCCTACAAGTCCCCTGAAGACGACAGGCATATTTCAGCAGTCAAGTCTGAGTTCCATGGGATGGGATGGGATGGGATGGGATGGGATGGGATGGGACTAGGGACGGGACGGGACGGGACGGGATGTGTGTGTGTGTGTGTGTGTGTGTGTGTGTGTGTGTGTGCGTTATGTGGTGGGGTGGGATGGGGATGGGGTGGGGTGGGGTGTGGGGTGGGGTATGTGGTGGGGTGGGTTTGGAGATGTGGTGGGGTGGGGGATGGGTGTGGGTGTGGAGGGATGGGGTATGTGGTTTGCGTGAGAAAATATGTCCTTGACCGTGACAGAAAAAACATTCCGTAATATCCGTCAGTTCGTCAAAAGCGGGTTCGCTATAAACATAGTTTACTGCATTATTTAATAATCATGCAATTTCTCTTACATGTCTTAAATCCTGGCGCTTGCATTTCATTTTGAAAATTTAGTTTATTGAAACTGACATAGTCATTCTTTCCGAGATTTTGCGGGGCTGCACTGTGTTAATGGGAAGCTATCATGGCGGAGTAAATCAAGTCAGATTATGGGCGGCCTAATGAAAAGAGGACGCTGTCAAGAGAGACGCCTGAAGCAATGGCTGTGTCTTCTCGCTATAATCAGGGCAAGATGGTCTATTAGTTAGATAGAGTTAGTGAAATGAATACTAAGCATTTGGAGCAATCACAACACAAAGTAATCAGTGTGTCGACAACAGTCACCGAGCAATCATTACTTCCAACAATGTTGATTCCTTGTATCACTGCTTGTCTCATATGACGATAGATGATCTGAGGTGAAATGGGTTTTAACGTGACTTTCAAGATTACTGCACTTACGTAGCTACAAGTGTGTGTGTCTGCTTGTACTAGTCCAGACTAATGCTGATTTTATAGTGCTAGCCCACTGAGATATCATGCTGCAGTTTAACGTGAATACCCCACTCAGACACAGTATACTGACCATCTTTTAACGTCTTTTGGTATGACGCAGCAAGGGATCGAACCCCTATCTATCTATCGATCCATCCATCCATCCATCCATCCATCCATCCATCCATCCATCCACCTATCTAGTCCCACTAAGCCAGATTCTAGACATCACTGCATCAACAAGTCCTGGGAGACGTCTATCAGAGGAGCTACAACGTGTCTGCAGCCAGCACACTATCTATCTATCTATCTATCTATCTATCTATCTATCTATCTATCTATCTATCTATCTATCTAGTCCCACTAAGCCAGATTCTAGACATCACTGCATCAACAAGTCCTGGGAGACGTCTATCAGAGGAGCTACAACGTGTCTGCAGCCAGCACACTATCTATCTATCTATCTATCTATCTATCTATCTATCTATCTATCTATCTATCTATCTATCTATCTAGTCCCACTAAGCCAGATTCTAGACATCACTGCATCAACAAGTCCTGGGAGACGTCTATCAGAGGAGCTACAACGTGTCTGCAGCCAGCACACTATCTATCTATCTATCTATCTATCTATCTATCTATCTATCTAGTCCCACTAAGCCAGATTCTAGACATCACTGCATCAACAAGTCCTGGGAGACGTCTATCAGAGGAGCTACAACATGTCTGCAGCCAGCACACTGTCTGTCTGTCTGTCTGCCTGCCTGCCTGCCTGCCTGCCTGCCTACCTACCTACCTACCTACCTACCTACCTACCTACCTACCTATCTATCTATCTACCTACCTATCTATCTACCTATCTACCTATCTACCTATCTATCTAGTCGCACTAAGCCAGATTCTAGACATCACTGCATCAACAAGTCCTGGGAGACGTCTATCAGAGGAGCTACAACGTGTCTCCAGCCATCACTCCCTCCCCAACTCATCTCAGATCGGATTTACTTCATTGCTAATGACTCCTCTACCTCCAACAATCAGGACTTATCTCTGAAAGGGTTAATTACCCAAGTCCCCATAGAAGTGATGAATCCCGAGTCCTGCCCCTCTCCGCCGTAACGCTAAGCCTTGTTTCGTGAGTGTTTAATAAGCAAGTCATTGATTTATTCCACAATCTCCTGAAAAAGCCTCCATTTTTCAACCTCCCTCCCAGCAGGGTCCAAAGCTTCTTCACTGCCTCCCAGGGAGACGATCAAGACACAACGTTTATAAACGCGATACGTGCTTCCATTTCTTATGCCCCGTCCTTACAGGCAACTTGGGTTTCTTTCTTAATGATGGAAATGGAGAATGCATCGTCCCGTGGGACACTGTAGAAAGGTTGAGCTGGATAAGATGGCTCATCAATACTCGGGGTAAATTTAAAGAGATTGAGAGCAGTGGGCAAGAGGCAGTTTGAAAATCGGGGAAAGATTGATGGGAGAGGCATCAGAGGGAGGTCAGCGCTAGTTGGTCTGTAGAAGGTGACCCATTAATAAAAGTGTCACTTCCAGGGTTTCCGGGGGACCGTGGTAAAGTGACGAAGTAGGTTTATGGTGGGTCTGATGAAACACGGTGAATGCGCTGAGATTATTTTGGACATGGCTCCTGTAATTCTGATAAGGATTTTAGAGATAGAAGTGGAGCTGACTGGACATGTTCAATAATTCCCCCTTGTGAAACGTGTCTTTTATTTTTGCTGATATTAGAACATGACTGTTTGTATCACATATAAGTGTACATTGATCAATCGGAAGGAACTGGGATTGTTCACTAGCCAATATATTAGCAAATATCGCTGTGGCCGCTTATTTAATACGTCAAATTCGGTATGCAAAATTTCCAAAAATTAAGTATTGCATTATATATCACATCGTGACATCCACAGTATGCAGTGGAGCAAACTGACATCATATTCCTTCAACTGACTAATCAACACAGAGAAATACTATTACAAAAATACATGTGCAAAGCTGAAAGGTTATTACACTCTATGGTAATATCATACATATGGCATTCCTCGATGTAAAATCACTCTATTGAACAGGGCAAAGGTCTGTTGCAAAAGGATTGCTTCCTAAATATTGTCAAGCTTCTTGTGGAAACGACTGGTTAGATAGACGGAGGCTTTGACTCAAACTTGAAGACAATCCACAGAAATGGCAAGATTGCATGGGGGATAATTAATGCAGAGCTTTACAGGTAGCCATTGAGTGCTCATTGCAAGTGCTGCTCAATATTAACGGTGTTCACGTTTTCTACCCATAGGTTATAGCATGCCATGAGCAGGTCACATGACTTTAGGACTTCCAACCTTTTGGTATCACTTGATGGCTCCCTTTAATTGTTAATTTCAAAAACGGATCAAGGAATTTTTAAAATAGGAGGTGGGCTAACATAATTTTGCAATGTATAAAATATAAAGAGCATATTTTTCAAGGCCAGATTGTTTGTGTGTTGTTTAACACCGCAATATTCCAGCTATATGACGGCAGTCTGTAAATAATCGAGTCTGGACCTGACAATCCAACGATTGCCATCATGAGCATAGATCCATGCAGTTGGGATCGATGACAAGCTTCAACCAAGTCAGTGAGTCTGACCACCTGATCCCGTTAGTCGCCTCTTATGACAAGCATAGTCGCCTTTTACGGCAAGCATGGGGTGCTGAAGGCCTATTCTACCTCGGATCTTCACGGGTCTGTTTGTTGTTTAATGTCGCATTCAGCGTTTATGCAACCAATAAATGTAAATAATGGACTAAGGGTAAGACAAACCAGTGACTGATATTATAAGCAACACCCCACGCCACGAGTGAGTGGGTGTGAGTGAGTGAGTGAGTGAGTGAGTGAGTGAGTGAGTGAGTGAGTGAGTGAGTGAGTGAGTGAGTGAGTGAGTGAGTGAGTGAGTGAGGTTTAACGCTGCTTTTAGCAATATTCCAGCAATATCACTACAGGAGACACCAGAAATGGGCTTCACACATTGTACCCATGTGGGGAATTGAACCCGGGTCTTCGGTGTGATGAGCAAACGCTTTAACCACAAGGCTATCCCCTCCCTATTTGTCATAAGTATTTTCGTGATAAAAGATGCAGCCAATGACCGGGACCGAAAAAACAGTTCGTTATATCCGTCAGTTCGTTTTAACCATTTAGCCTGAATTCCATCACTGTCTTTGTCGCACCTCAAAGAGGGTTAATTGAGGGTTTAAAATGAGAACAAGTGTCTTCAATTGTTAATTACTGCTTTGAACAGCAGAAACTGCACAAATAGACATGCGTGTAAATGATTTTCACAATGTTGTGGAAATTTTTTTTTTAATTCCACCCCTGATATCAAAGTCAACATCCAAACGAAAGCAAACGTATTCCATCAATTCTTTGAGGTGAAGTGAGGTGAAATGGGGTTTAACGTCGCGTCCAAGATTATTGCACTTGCATAGCGACGTGCATGTACGTGTGTGTGTGTGTGTGTGTGGCTGCTTGTGCTAGTCTGGACTGATGCCGATTTAGAGTGCTAGCTCACTGAGATACCATGCCACAGTTTAACATGAATACCCCACTCAGACACAGTATACTGACTCCAAGCCGACCAGTCCTTGTTTTAGCCCCTTAATGCCGAGCGCCCCTGGGTAACAACAAGTACCATCTTTTAACGTCTTTTGGTATGACGCGGCCGGGGATCGAACCCCGGACCTTCCGCTCTCCGGGCGGACGCTCTACCACTTGACCACGGAGGCGGTCTATCAATTCTATGAAGTTGTATACTCACTTTTCCTGGTTGCTTAGAAACCAGCATGTAGTATGTGAGAATATTCCAGGAGAGGAAGACACCGATGACGACGGTCACCAGGTGAGTACGTTTCAGCCGCATCCTCGACGTCCCACAGTCCGGCCATGCACATCAATTAGAGGTCAAGGCCATCTGAAAAATAGAGACCGCACATTATCACACATTGCGCTGTAATTAGCAAGCTGGGTCAACAGTGAAATCTGGTAAACTAAAAACAATCGGAAAACTTATCTCAGATTTTAAGACATGCATACATATGTTGAAATGCTTCCATTTCCGGCGACTATGTTTGTCGAGGAGCCTAAAGGGATCGGGTAGTCAGGCTCACTGACTTGGTTGATGCATGTCATCGTATTCCAACTGCTTGGATCAATGCTCATGATGTCAGTCACTGGATTGTCTGGTCCAGACTCAATTATTTTTCAGACCGCCATCATAAAGCTGTAATATTGCTGAATGCAGCAATATAAGGGTAACGCTATTTTTAAGGGCATTATCATTTGCAGAAGCCCGAGGTCTTCCATTAAAAGTTGAAAAGACCTAGGGCTTCTGCAAATGATAATGCCCTAAAAAAGAGCGTTACCGTTATTATAGCTAAAATGGATGGAATTTGTTTTTAAATAAAAAGAAACAACAATATCGGTTTTGAAACATTTACTGCAATCAACAGGAATGCCACTGACCCACTTTTACCAATATGGAAACTTCATAGAACAAACCAGATGACGTCACTTTTGAATGTGACGTCACCTATCCCTACCCTGTGACGTCACCTAAAAACAGGCGTGATAATGGCCCGTCGTCAAGCAATATGAGGGCATTATCAAGTTACAGTCGCCCGCTCATTTCTGTTAACAGGCAGGTGGTTTAATGATAATTCTATCCATTTAGCTATAATAAACAACAAACAAACAAACAAGCAAACAAGCAACTCACACATCATGACACACCATCAATCAAATAACCAAACCTCAGACATCTGGGCACCATTCAACAAAGTGACCTTAGCATTAAGATGATCGCAACTCCCAAACTTACTCATTGACTTAAAAGAATCGTAGCATGGAGATCACTTTAACAGCGGTAGAAACTAACAGTTTCAGTCCACTAGTCCTTATAATGATAACATATAGCAAAACCTTTAAAAATGGCTAATTTCTACTTGTCCTTAGGATACCTTTACTACTGGGCAGTTTGGCAAGGACTATAGGACTATTGCCAATTTCTAACCCTACTTTAAGTGAGTGAGTGAGTTTGGTTTTACGCCGCTTTTAGCAATATTCCAGCAATATCACGGCGGGGGACACCAGAAATGGGCTTCACACATTGTATCCATGTCGGGATTCGAACCCGGGTCTTCGACGTGATGAGCGAACGCTTTAACCACTAGGCTACCCGACCGCCCCCCTGCTTTAAGGAACAGGGTGCTCACCAACCATAACAATCCATACGATCTGAGTTACTATGAATGAGTGAGTGAGTGAGTTGGGTTTAACGCTCTTTTAACAGTATTCCATTTATATCACGGCATGTCAGTTTAATGTGGGAGGAAAGCCCGAAGTGATGCAGGTCTCAGAGTGAGTGAGTGAGTGAGTTTGGTTTAACGCCGCTTTTAACAGTATTCCAGTTATATCACGGCGTGTCAGCTTAATGTGGGAGGAAAGCCCGAAGTGATGCAGGGGTCAGACATTTATCACTTTGGTGAAAGCCACGAGCACGGGTATGGTGCTGACAAACCTAGAAACATAATCGGGGCAAACCGGGATTGGAACTCACAATCATAGGTTTCTGGCGTGCCCAAAGGACGCAACTCTGCACAGCGAATCGCGGCGCCTCAGACGACAGGGCCACCCGTGCCCCCGAGTTACTATGATGATCCAAAAACACATTCAGACAAAAAAGTCGCAAAAAGAAGGGGAAATAACTCTCCCAGTACATGGTGAAAATTAGCATCACATACAGCATTATTTTCACCTCCGACACAAAACATGCTAAAGGTTAATCAACAAATAAGTTGTCTGCTGTACAGAATCACAGAAAGGAGGTTTATAATGACTGAGTGAGTGAGTGAGTATGGTTTTACGCCGCTTTTAGCAATATTCCAGCAATATCACGGCGGGGGACACCAGAAATGGGCTTCACACATTGTACCCATGTAGGGAATCGAAACTGGGTCTTCGGCATGACGAGCGAACGCTTTAACTACAAGGCTACCCGACCGCCCTTTTCTAATTATTGATGTGACTTGGCCGAGCTAGGTGCCTGGACACAGCAACATGGCTGCTGAAACTGATAGTCATCAAGCGTCTGATTAAACACCGTCTGATTGCCAGCCTCATTGGGAGCGTCTACACAGTGGGGACGCATTGGTGTTAAGTCATTTGTGCTGGGTGAACTCACGAAATGGCACAGATTGAACTTGGTGTTTATCGGCAAGACCAGGCGACTATCTGCAATAAAATTTTGAAGGCTTTAATATGGAGACTGTACTAGCGATAAATATACTAATCAAAAGAAGTTAAGAACGCTCAATGTTTTCAAATCTTCTTAGGAGATTATGTAGTTACATGAGTGAGTGAGTGAGTGACTGAGTATTCCACCTCGGATCTTCACGGATCTGTTTGTTGTTTAATGTCGCATTCAGCGTTTATCCAACCAATAAATGTAAATAATGGACTATGGGTAAGTCAAACCAGTGACTGATATTATGAGCAACGCCCCACGCCGCGAGTGAGTGAGTGAGTGAGTGAGTGAGTGAGTGAGTGAGTGAGTGAGTGAGTACAGTTTTACGCCGCTTTGGGCAATATTCCAGCAATATCAGGGCGGCAGACATCAGAAATGGGCTTCACTCATTATATCCATGTGGTGTATCGAACCCGGGTCTTCGGCATGACGAGCGAACACTTTAACCACTAGGCTACCCCATCACCCCCTTATGTAGTTATGGGATGTTGGCACAGATAATAAATACTGAAAAATCGTCATGCCTTTGTATCAGTCTTATTTGCATCAGTCACTGGGAACTAATTCAGTATCTGAAGTCCATCCTTCTCATAAGACAAGAAACCTGTGAAGATCAGCTTAGAATAGGTCTTCAGCAACCCATCCTTGTCATAAAAGGTGACTATGCTTGTCGTAAGAGGCGACTAACAGGTGGTCAAGCCCGCTGACTTGGTTGATGCATGTCATCGTATCCCATTTGGGTGGATCGATGCTCATGATGTCAATCACTGGATTGTCTGGTCCAGACTCAATTATTTACAGACCGCCGTCACATAGCTGGAATATTGCTGAGTGGGGCGTTAAACAACAAACAAACAAACTAGTGTAATAACCCTAGAATGATAAAGACAGAATGTCAATGCTACAGGGCCAAACATTATAACTCCCACAAACACCAGGCCTCATTGAGCTATCATCCTTGTGGTATTTTAAGCATCATTAGAGACCTAAAATGTTAACCAACTGTCAGGTAAATAATGTCACACCAAAGATCCAGGTTACATTGTGTGAAGCCTATTTCTGGTGTCTCCTGCTGTGATATTGCTGGAATACAACTTTAAAAGCGGCATAAAACCTCACTCACTCACTGTATCGCCCAATTCTACCCAATGCAGAAGAGGCATTAGACCTAACAATACTGATACAAGTTGTTAAAAATCACTTTGTGTTCAAGAACTGACCCAAAGTTGATGTCCCATGTGCCCAATAATTAATAATTACCATAATTACACACCAACTTTTCATTTTCACATGGCACTTATAACAAGCTTGGACCTAGACTTGCTACAGGCTCCTTTAACTTCATTTCAAAATTCTGCCTTTTTATAATTTGAAATATTCATTTCTGACAGAACAATTGAACTTGTAGAACTGCTCACTGCTTGTCTTTCGTGAAGCTTGAGATGATCTAGTGTGCTTGTAAGTGTGGAACAGTAATCACGTGTACAGATGTATGCAACAAAATTTTTCCTTGTTGTCATCTGGACACACAGGAAAGAAGTGAGAAGATTCCCTCACAACTATTAGATATGTTGGCAGTGAAGAGGACGTCTGTTGAAAATTTCTAAAAAAAATTGTAGTGTGGTTCTCAGCATAAACAGGAATTTATGGCAATGATGTAATAGAGGTAGGGTATTCACAAGAATTATTCATTTCTGACAGAACAATTGAAAATATGATGTAATCTTATCATCAATCAGGTAAATTAATAAAAAAACTTCAGTGCAGTCCATTAGTAAGTTCGTCATGAGGAACCATGTCCAAGCTCCCATATTCATCCAACCCCCAATTCCCTCCAGGTTTCCTCCCGCCTGTGAGACGCCAAATCTGAACATGCAATCATCAGTATGGAAACTTTGTCCTCAACGTCATTTCAGACAAGTGCCCAGAGCAGCTCCGTGAACAGATCTAAACCCAGGGAGAATCTCCCTCTGGTCAGACGCCGAAGTGGCAATAAATTATTCAACACTGCTCAGCATTTAACACACGCTGGCCAATAGCTAAATAAACTCTGAATGGGTAAGTAAAATGAGCGACACCAGTGCCGAGCATCATGAAATTGATAACTTCATTAGTCCTGTAGAAATGCCGGGCCATGTGTGCCCATTCATAATTCCTGCCGAGGCAGTTGACGAGTTTCGTGATGGGACGGAGTAGCATGTGCATCCTGTATTGATTCTCCATCAGAACGCGACAAGAAGATGCTGCAAGCGCATGACGGAAAGCCAAATAATCGCTAACTCAATTTGGGCGGTATTCTTTGCCCATTACACCAGACACTTCTGGGGCCTGGGTATATATCCTTCAAACCAACTTCCCTACCTCAAAATAGTTAAATTACACGCTAAAGGATTTTTTATTCGGTTGAGTTGACTATTGTATTAATTTGCCACCATCCGGAGCCAGGCAAATGGCTCTGGAACATGTTAACGACAATGAGGCAACAATGGGGCAGTAAGAAGGTGATAGAGACAAGCCCCTGCATAGTACGAGAAAGCCATGGGATTACTCTGCTCCTCGCTGTTTTAATTGTCTGGTCAGGGTAACTCTTGACATGCTAGCTCTTGCACCAGCTCTTGTACTTACAGCTCTTGTTCCAGCTCTTGTACTCATAGCTCTTGCACCAGCTC